AAGAGCTCTTTGCATGATCTCTTTAATAGTGTTTGGTACCCTTCCGGCTACGACGATGACTAGGTCGTCCGCGTAGCCTTGAGTGTATAAACCTTCCTCGTTTAGGATACGAAGTAGCCCATCCAGCACTAGGCACCACAGCAAGGGCGATAGTACCCCTCCTTGCGGGCAGCCTCTGGCTACGGTTGAGCTGATCTCTGTAGTTCCAATCGAGCTTGTAATGATCCTGCTTTCCAGCATGACACGGATCCATTTGACAATGGTATTCTCTATGCCAAAGCCTTCTGCAGCTCTATTTATCGACTCGAAGGAGGTGTTGTTGAAAGCTCCTTCAATATCTAGAAACGTGCCCAGAGCCATCTCTTCAGGACGAGTCCCTCTCTCTAGTCTTGTCACAAGGCTGTGAAGAGCGGTCTCCGTCGACATCGCTGTCCTGTAGGCGTGTTGATTGGAATGCATGGGAATTCTTTTTAGTGCCCCGTCCCTCATAAATATGTCCTTTGCTGCCTTGTAGTTACAACGTCCTGGCTTGGGGATAAACACCTCTCGAACCTTTCGCCAGGATTGTGGCACGTAGCCCCGTGCCAGGCAGGCTCTAAAGAGGTGTATCAAGTGCGGTGTCAGTGGTTCTAGTCCCTTTTGTAAGAGAGCCAGAAAGATGCCATCTGGTCCCGCGCTTTTAAAAGATCCAAATGAGTGGATGGCCCACTTTATGGAGCTTTCTGTCACTACCTTTGCAGCTAACTTCCAGTCAGTCGGCCTTACGCCCGCTGGTGAAGCCCGCCTTGGTGGTTCAACAGTTTGCAGGATTTTTGAGCTTTGAAAGTGAGTTTCCAGGAGCCATTTAAGTGCCTCCTCCGCGGTGGTGCTATAGTCACCGGAGAGAACCCTTAATGTCCCCAGCTCTCGTCCCGGATCCTTTGAGAGAATCTTTTGAAGCCTGACGGCTGCTGGAAGCTCGTCTACGTTACCGCAGAACGTCCTCCACGATTCCCCCTTAGACCTTCTTATGAGATCTTTGTACCTGCGCTGAGACTGCTTGTGGCTGTCCCAATCCGCAGGCGATTTAGACCGCATGGCCCTGTTAAAGAACCTGCGGGTTTCCTTGCGAGCCTTATCGAGGTCAAAGTTCCATCAAGGGGTTTTCTTTTTTCCTCGATAGACCCGAAGCTGGCAGCTTCGTTCGTACGATGTGATTATTGCCTCGCGTACGAATTCGGCTGTTTCCTCCACTTGCCGAGAGCTGCGGCACGTCATGGAAGAGTCCACTACCTTAGTCTTTAGCATCTCAACATACTGGTCCCAGTTAGTGTTCCGGGGGTTCCTGAACCTACTGAGCCCTTTTTTTTTTTGGAGGGGTAAAAAATCTTCTAGAAGACGATGTAGTCTGTTGTTCTGGCGACTACCTGTGTCGGATTCAGTCCCTCTTGGGACCGCCTACCGACTAAAAACTTCCCCTCTTGGTTTACCCTGGAATCCGCTGTTAGGCATTTCTTCAGGGGGTGAAAACATACTTAGGCGTCCGCATCCTGTGGCTCCCTTCTCTTTTTTTCTGCTGTCTTTTCCTCCATCATGTATCTCAACATCTACATCAACATCGGATCGTTGGTCCGGTATTTTCGTTTAGAATTAGGTCGCTTATGTCATCTACTGTGATCTCCGAGTTGATTATTGTATTAACCCGTTGCCTGTCATTTTGAAATCTTATGCACTCGAAGACGGTGTGCTCGGGGCTGTCAATCTCCTCGCAGTAAAAGCATGTGTCTGCTTCTGCTTTTTTGATTTTTTTCAGATAGGTTCCGAAGACCCCATGCCCCATAAGGCTTGTGTGGTGTAAAAATCCACCTCTCTATGATTTGCCTTATACCATAGTCGGACGTCCTTGATGAACGTTTTTGCCCATCCCTGATACTCTTGCCATCTCTCCTGCCATTTGTTGAGGAGGTTTTCTCTGGCTTGATTGGCGTACTCTTTTCCGTGTTCGTGGATCTCGACTCTTTCCTGGATTTGTAGCTCAAGGGGGGTTATTCCAGCGATGGCCTGCACTGCGCAGTTGGATATTGTCCTGTAGGCCGATGTGATGCCTATGGCCAGCTGCCTGTTTATGCTTTCTAGCTTGTTGACATAGGACTTGAATCTCAGAGCCTGGTTCCATGTGGGTGCAGCATACAGTATTGCGGACAACACTGTGCTGGCCATGACTCTCCTTTTAGACGATCTCGGTCCTCCCACGTTTGGCATAACTCTCCTCATTACGCTGATCAATTTTTGAGGCTTTGTCCGTAATTTTTGTAATATGGGTGGTCATGCGGAGGTCCTTGTCCAGGAAGACTCCCAGGTATCTAGTTGCCTTTATGCTGTGTATCTGTATGTTCCCTACTGTGATGTTAAGGTCTATCAGTTTCCGCCTACCCTCGAGAATTACCATTTCGGTTTTTTTGGGGGCGACTTTGATTCCTAGTTCATTTATGTGTCTTACGACTGTATTTACGGCATATTGGGTTTTATCTATAATCTGTTCTTTTGTCCTAGCCTTCACTATTTCTGCCAGGTCGTCAGCGTAAGCTATAAGGCTAACTCCTTCTTCCATTCTTAGCCTCAGCATCCTATCATAGAAAACGTTCCATAATGTTGGGCCCAGTATCGATCCTTGGGGAACTCCGCACGATACGCTGTGGGAGGTCCCGTGGGGGCGATAACTTTCCTGTCAGAGAGATACGATTTTATTATATTTATAAGGTAGTCACTCACCTTTCCATCTTCCAAGGATTTGATTATATTTTTCCATGGGGCCGAGTTGAAAGCGTTCTCAACGTCTATTGCCACCATGACGCATAATTCCCGGTTTTTTAGTGCTTTAGCTTTGATGTCTTCGGCGATCTTTTTAACTCTTTTGATTGCGTCAATGGTCGATTTACCCTTTGTAAACCCGTATTGGTCCTGGTGTATTATCTTTTTTTCCTCTATTTCGTCTAGAAGTCTGTTTTCAATGATAATTTCCAACATTTTGCCCATTGAGTTGATCAGACATATAGGTCTGTAGGCTTTCTCCGTTTGGTTTTCCTTGGGTGGCTTTTCTATAAGAACCAGCAGGGCTTCCTTCCACATAAGAGGGAAGTGTCCTTTCTGTAGACATTTGTCGAAGAGTTTCCTAAAGAAGTCGGCGTTGTTTCTTAAGCAGGCGATAGCTATTTCGGGGACTATTCCGGGTCCTGGGGCTTCCTTTCTTTTCAGCTGAGCTGTTGCGCATGCAAGCTCCTCCGAAGTGAGTGAGGATGTGTACAGGTTTTCTGTTTTCTCCCAAGTTATTTCCCTATGAGATGGGAAAAGCTTATTTATTTGTTTGATAGAAGTTTCTTCGTCCGGGATGAGTCTTTTTCTTAGTTTCATTTTCTTTGTAGCTATTTGGTAAGCTTTTCCCCAGATGTCTTCATCTAGCTCCTTACATAGCTCTTTCCATTTTTTAATTTTACTTAATTGGATTTCTTTTTTAAGTTCCTTTTTTGCGTTTTTTAGAGATTCTTTTAGTGCGTTTTCCTCGATGGTGTTTTCGCGTCTTCTCAGTCTTATCAGTCTTCTTCTGATCTTCACGCATTCCTCTCTTTTTGCTGCTATTGCCAGGTTCCACCAGTAAACTGAGGGGGGACGTCCTCTACCTCTTGTGCTGCTCTTGAAATGCCTGTCACACTGTTCTTTAATGGTCTTTATTACTTGTTCTGGTGCATCCTCTGTCTCCGTGTTTATGTGTGTAAATATGTTCGTGTTGAAGGTGTCAATCTTTCCTTTGGTAATTTTCCAGCCATTTTGTATGTCTTTTGTTATGTACTGATTGGTAGCTGTTATTGACATGTTGTACAGGATCGTTCTATGGTCGCTGCAGTTTTCTCTATCATCTTCGACGTGCCAGAGATCTATGTGTCTGCTTAGGCTTTCTGTTGTGAGTGTGATATCGATGAGAGAGCTACCGTTAGCGTTGGTGAAGGTTGGCGTGTTTCCTGTGTTTGTCCCCACAAGTTGGTTTTTGGCCATCCACTCGTCCAAGATATTTCCTCTTTCGTTAGTAGTGGGGGATCCAAACGCTTTTGATTTTGCATTTAAATCTCCTCCTATGATGGTTTTACACTTTTTGTCTCTTATGTAGCTCTCCAGTTGGTCTAGCAGCTCTACGAAATCTTCTATCTCCCCGTTGGGGGAGAAGTAGCAGGATACGACACATGCAATTTTTGTCTTAATTGCAACGAAACCACACTCACTTACACAGTCAATTACTGGCAGCCTACTTCTAACGTCAATAAAACAGTCACAGTTTTTGTCAGTGTTGAGGCCTGACCCTCTTTTTTTATTAGGCTCCTGACCTATTACGATGTCTATATTGTCCTCGTATAATCTTTGTTGTAGCAGATCGTGTGCTGCGTGACACCGATTTAGGTTTATTTGTAGAAACCTCACTTGTTTGTTGTTTTTGGTAGCCATTTTATTTAGTTGAGTTTATTTCTCTCTTTCCTTGCCCTCGACAAGGATCTCTTGAACTTTGGGCATCGTCCGCTATCGGCCCTGTGTCCTGCCTGATTACATAGGGGGCAATTTTCCTCTAGTTTGCATTCCTTGGCCATATGTCCCTCTCTTCCGCATTTGAGGCAAGTCTTGGATCTGTCAGGTCCCTTGCAAGCGTGTTCCTGGTGGTCATATGACCAGCATTTTTTGCACTTGTCTATTCTAATGCGAGTTTCCAAGCGGCAGTTTACCAGTCTCTCTGCCTCTTTTTTGTCAATGGTTAGTGTAATAGCTTGGGTGTTGTTAGCAGTCGGTCTGAGGTCGCTGAGTTTGTAGTCGGTGTTGGATAGATTCACAATGTGTTTTTTTAGGTTTGTGACGACCTCTTCTTTTGTGGTGTCTGCGTCTATACCTCTGATGTAAATCGCCTCGGTTTGGTTCTTTTTTCCTATTTTTTTAATTGTGCCTTGTTTAAAGTTATTTCCGTCTTGAATAATCTTATGTACTTTGTTTAGCAGTTCCTGATCCTTATCTGTTGTGATGAGCAACCTTCCGTCTTTGGTGCTGCGTATGCTGCGTATTCCCTCTTCCACCTTGTCTTTTAATGCCATTTTGACAGTCTTTAAGGTGTCCTCGTAGGTGTTTCCCTTGTTCTCTACCACGATCGCATATGTTCTTCTTTCCCTGCTCTTTGTTTCCGGTGGGCTCGGTTTGTTTGTGAAGACTGTAGTCTTAGTGCTGTCTTTGTGGAAAATAGCTTCCAACATATCCCTCATCCTCTCCGGGTGCATGGTTTCTATTTGGTGGAAAGCTATCCACCCGTCTTCTAGGGTTTCTTCCTTGACTAGCATTAAGTTGTTGAAAAGGTCTTCTTCTGTACCGTCATGTATTATTTTATAATTTTCTTCTTTGTCTTGTTGCCCGGTTGAATGGTTTTGATGGTGCATTCCTGCTCCATAACCCCAAAGTTTTCATCTATGTTTAGGATGTCGGGGTATCTCTCTTTATACGCTTTTAGTATCCCCTTATCCAGTCCCCTATCGTTGGGACCGGCTATGATCACTTTTACCACGCAGTCTTTTGTTTCCAGGGGGTTTCCTACTTTTACCTCCGTGTTTTGGTATATGTTGTCATGCCATTTCTTTTGGGACAGTGTCGCCCAGTCTTCGTAGCGCGCTGCTTGGACGATCTCGGTGAGACATTCGGGGTCCTCCATTTGACAGCCGCAGCCTCTTAATTCTGGTTCCCCCTTCGTCCCCTCGTGATCCGTCTGGGTTCCGAACTCCCTTGTCGGTTTGGTAGCCCTTTGTACACTTTGCGACTGGTCCTCTTCTGTCTGCGTATCGGCTTCGTATGTCGGTATAGGTACTGGTTCGTGCATATGCTGTTCGAGCCACTCCTTTATTGTGTTTCTGTTTAGGTTATCCGTTCTTCTCTTCAGTTTTGCCACAATGTCCTTGATTTCTGTTTTGGTGTTCCTGTTCTCCCCGCACACTTTGTCTAAGTTCTTAGTGCACTCCACTATAGCCTTTAGTGTTTCCACCAGTTCCGTGGCTATAGGGCATTTATTTCTTTTAACAATTTTTTCTGGCTCCAGGGAGACTCTCTTTCTTTTTTTCTCGTCTAATTCATTTACTGAGAAGCTTCTTTGTTTTGTAAATGCTCCCAGCGTGAAAAAGGCTTACACTTTTTTCTCCTTTTCCATCTCAGTTATGGGGATCGATTTGTTTGCCTCCTCGTCCCACATAAAGTCTAAGGTCTCCATAGATGATCTTCTTCCGCTGTCATTTAGTCTTAGTTGCACATGCGGTATCAGCGAATGCACCTGCTTATTCCCAACACTCCTCAGTGGTATCCCAGTAGCTATTGCCGAGCTCCCGGGCTGGTTTGCCCCCGGGGCCGTACAGTCGCTGGTTGACGATCGGGTGGGGCCTGCACTGCCACCACCATTCCCGACCGGTTCTGGGGTTCCGAACCCCTGTCCCGTAAGCATTGACCCTTTTATGGACTTCATGCCTGGTTTTTTAAAATGGTGTCCCTCCATCGCCTTTTATACCTTCGTGCCCCTATCCGCCACCCGAGGGACGCGCCACGATGGAGGAAAACACACAAAACCCCTCACGGGGAACCTACTGAGCCCAGCATCGTGAGTTAGGTCTAAGCTAAAGAGAATGTGTCTGTGATCTGACAGGGATGGCTCTTCAGACACCTTCCACTTTCTTGTCATCGGGGCCATGGAGAGGGAGCCCAATGTCAAGTCTATCGCCTCTTGTCTTCGTGACGTGACAAAGGTCGGTGTAGTGCCGCGGTTTAGGATTTCCAGATCCGTAGTATGTAGATACTCTAAGTGGCTGAGCCCTCTCCGATTCGTGTCGGAGCTTCCCCACACCGTATGGTGTGCGTTGGCATCGCAACCGATGATCAGCGGGAGGCCCAATGTGCTGCAGTATTCCCCTATATCGATGGAGGATCGTCTATCGAGTCATAGGGCAGATAGGCCGAGCATACCACCAAGGATGTACTCTGTCCTGGTCTGTCCTTAAGGCATAGTTTCACCGCTACTAAGTCCCCAGAACAGAAATTAGCTATTAGTGAGGACTCGATCCGTCTGTCGACGTTGATACAAGCCCTTGGATTTAGTTGGTCGTCCCTCTTGTAGAAGAGAGATCTTTCCCATCTTTTAGGCCCCTTACGCGACCCTTGTATGACCAAGGTTCTTGTAGGAGATATCAAATGATATTACGCAAACCTTCTCAATGGAAGTCATTTCGGTGAATTTAACCACATTAAACATCGACTTTAATATTCCTGGACTGATTTTAATTTTTTTAAGCCAATTTTTGTGGACACAGCAGGAAATGGATGACCTCTTTTTAACAGCAACCTGTAAGCTCTTGGTTCAGCTGCATGGATGACAATAGCCTTGGAAATATCTTCCACTGATCATCGCAGGCGTATATTTGGATTCCTTAGCTTCTTTTTTTGTGCAGGGGAATACAACTTTCCAATGGCTTTGATATCACTTTTTAATAAGGCAACCTGTGATCTTAGCTCAGCAATAATTTCATCCCGTTCATCTGGGTCGGTATTAATTAAATTATTAAAACAAAGATTCTATAAAAAATATTAATTCTATTATGAGGTGAAATTTAAAAAATAATAAAAAACATACATCATATGAATCGTCTAATTTCAAAAGCGGCCATCTCCTTTTAAGAATATTTTAAGTAAACGTCAAAAAAAAATTCTAAACAGTAATGGGTAAAAAATAAATATATTTTGAAAAACTTGTTTATATGGTAACTAAAAATATTTTTTCTACAAAATAAGTAACCAGATTTAAGTTTTAATTAAAAAAACATATATTTCAAAAGGGAAATGGGCATTTTAAGTACATTTTTGTACTTAAAACATCAATGGAGATGGCCGTTATTAAAACTAACATAAAACTTTAATGAATTATTTTCCTTGCCAATAGCCGTTTTTGTTGGGATATAATTTTGCACTAATATACTACGTAATATTTCGATTTTATTAGTGTAAATAACTCATTTAAAAAAAAAATGGAGATGGCCGCTTTTGAAATTAGACGATTCATATGTCATATGCTTTATGTTTTTTTTTATTATTTTTTTAAATTTTACCTCATAATGTTTTTGTATCCTGGGATAAATATTAATTAATGTTAATTTTATTAGTGATTTTAAAAGATTGGTGGTATTTTTTGTCTAACGATTAATTCAATATTATTTATCTTAGTTATGAATGTAAATAACTACCCTGTGTCTTTTAGTCTGCAATTTTCTGCGTCCAAAGAAAGTTTAATACCATCAGCACAGCTTCTACCAAAGAATAAATTAAATTATAAATATAAGAGTTACAGACAATATCAGATTATTAAAAAAGTATAAAACAATCACTACAGCTTTTACAAAGCACAATATTAAAAATTAATGTTAATACATTATTTATTATATACATAACGGTGTTTACCTTAGGTCTTCGTCTAATTTTTCTTCAATGAGGCCCTGAACAATCTTTGCCCGATTAATTTTTTCTATTCGGCAGGTCCTTGTAGATAATTTATCGACTGGATGTGGTGTAATTATTTTTTTCGGCAAATTGTTTTTGGGCCCAGGAATACCAAGAAGTTCATATTTCAAATTACGAACGTAATCATCAGTATTAAAATGTTTGGAACAAACTAGAGCATTATTCGTATTAAATTTGTCCGACCGATAACATTTTTCTGTCCATATTTTGTTAAAGATTTTATCACAGCTAAACACTGCACACCGCACCATAACAGTGGGCGGATATTCGAAACCCTGTCGACATGCTTGCTCTGTCTTGCCTTATCTGCTCGCGCCGTCAGTGGGCGGGGCGTAAGCTATACGCGGTTTAGACATGTTGTATCATGGGGTTTAGTTAGTTGAATCAAATATTGTTGGATTTGTTTCCAGTTAGGTATGTGTATTCTAACGCGCATTTGAATATAAATTCATATTTCTACAACCGTTGAAATTAGCAACTTATTTTTTTGTAACTTTTTCAATGTTTTGACTACATTTGACTCGATATATATGTATAGAAATTTTCAATAATTCACATAGCTCGCCGCAGAGTAAAGTTTTTGATGCACGATTTTGATAATTCTTTATTGCAAAATATTTTCTTTCAAAATCTTTAGAAATTTTTTAAATTTCTGAATTGCTATTAGAAGCGCTCACATTTCAAGTATAGGTCTGCAAAAAATCAGAATTTTAGATTGTATTCTAGAATTAATACAATGGTTAATGTTACGAATCACCGACCGAAAAATCGCTTCTCCGTTTGGAATTAAAATTCTTTATAAATTATATTATGCAAAATATGACAATTTTACAAAAAAATTTTGAATCTGTTGCAGATACAAACAAAGAAATAATAATAATAATAATAATAATAATATTTTTGGGACACATTTAAAAAAAAATCACTAATTAATTTATTAATCACTATTAATCATATTAACTACAACAGAAAATGGTTAGTACAAGTCAAAAAGATAAATTAAAAGTATACTGAACATAAATTTGCTAAAATATAACGATAATTTTTTTAACAAATATTTCTTTATTAAAAAAAAATTCAATTAAAATATTTTAACTCAATGGTTTTTTGTTTGTTTTTCGCTATCTAATATATAATATGATATTATTTTATTGGCAAAATTAAATTAAAAGTTTACCCGTTAATTAACCTCAGGGATGTGTTTATATTTTAAATTGAAATTACTAATATAAAAATTCATATTTCTGTAACCGTTCAAGTTAGCGACTTAATTTTTGTTTTAAAAACTTTGTCAATGTTGTGACTACATTTGGCGCCCTTATTAATTATTGGTGTACGCTCATAATTCTTTTTCACCCTTTTGTTTATTTTTGTTGAAGATTTGTGTGACGATGTTTAGGCTAAACAAAAAGTCCCAGGCATGTGGAGTATGTCATTTTTCTCGTATTAGGTGTTTATGATTAAGTCTAACACTAATACGATACGTTTATTTTAGTTGATATAATTTATGTGAATTTGTCTAGACAAAATAGTTGTAGTTTTTAAAACGTAGAAAATGTGTTAAGGGTACGCCCCCTAGTTTTTTATGGAAACCGCCAAGATAAGCTTGCGAACGAAACGAGCCCCGGCAGAGGATGCTTGACGTGTTTTGAGACAAGTTGCATCTCTGAATTGATTTTTGATTGACTATTGTTAATCTAGCGGGTCGCGGGTCGTTGGTTTTCTTTTTATAGCTAATAATTAGTTTGGGACGATTAATATTAATTTTGTGTTCTGTGCGGATTTATCTGACTACGTG